AATGCCCTCACTGTCCTCACTGTTCTCACTGCACTCACTGTCCTCACTGACATCACTGCCCTCACTGCCCTCACTGTCTCACTGCCCTCACTGTCCTCACTGTCCTCACTGCCCTCATCGTCCTCACTGCCCTCACTGCCCTCACTGTCCTCACTGTCCTCACTGTCCTCACTGTCCTCACTGTCCTCACTGTCCTCACTGTCCTCACTGTCCTCACTGTCCTCACTGTCCTCACTGTCCTCACTGTCCTCACTGTCCTCACTGTCCTCACTGTCCTCACTGTCCTCACTGTCCTCACTGTCCTCACTGTCCTCACTGTCCTCACTGTCCTCACTGTCCTCACTGTCCTCACTGTCCTCACTGTCCTCACTGTCCTCACTGTCCTCACTGTCCTCACTGTCCTCACTGTCCTCACTGTCCTCACTGTCCTCACTGTCCTCACTGTCCTCACTGTCCTCACTGTCCTCACTGTCCTCACTGTCCTCACTGTCCTCACTGTCCTCACTGTCCTCACTGTCCTCACTGTCCTCACTGTCCTCACTGTCCTCACTGTCCTCACTGTCCTCACTGTCCTCACTGTCCTCACTGTCCTCACTGTCCTCACTGTCCTCACTGTCCTCACTGTCCTCACTGTCCTCACTGTCCTCACTGTCCTCACTGTCCTCACTGCCCTCACTGTCCTAAGTGCCCTCACTGTCCTCACTGTCGCTCACTGTCCTCACTTTGCTCACTGTCCTCACTATCCTCACTGTCCTCACTGTCCTCACTGTCTTCTGCCCTCACTGCCCTCACTGCGCTCACTGCTCACTGCCCTCACTGCCCTCTCACTGTCCGCTGCCCTCACTGCCCTCACTGCCCTCACATTCCTCACTGTCCTCACTGCCCTAATTTTTCTCACTGTCCTCACTGTCCTCACTGCCCTCACTGTACTCACTCCCCTCACTGCCCTCACTGCCCTCACTGCCCTCACTGCGCTCACTGCCCTCGCTGCCCTCACTGCCCTCTCCGCCCTCACTGCCCTCACTGCGCTCACTGCCCTCGCTGCCCTCACTGCCCTCTCCGCCCTCACTGCCCTCACTGCGCTCACTGCCCTCGCTGCCCTCACTGCCCTCTCCGCCCTCACTGCCCTCACTGCGCTCACTGCCCTCGCTGCCCTCACTGCCCTCTCCGCCCTCACTGCCCTCACTGCGCTCACTGCCCTCGCTGCCCTCACTGCCCTCTCCGCCCTCACTGCCCTCACTGCGCTCACTGCCCTCGCTGCCCTCACTGCCCTCTCCGCCCTCACTGCCCTCACTGCGCTCACTGCCCTCGCTGCCCTCACTGCCCTCTCCGCCCTCACTGCCCTCACTGCGCTCACTGCCCTCGCTGCCCTCACTGCCCTCTCCGCCCTCACTGCCCTCACTGCGCTCACTGCCCTCGCTGCCCTCACTGCCCTCTCCGCCCTCACTGCCCTCACTGCGCTCACTGCCCTCGCTGCCCTCACTGCCCTCTCCGCCCTCACTGCCCTCACTGCGCTCACTGCCCTCGCTGCCCTCACTGCCCTCTCCGCCCTCACTGCCCTCACTGCGCTCACTGCCCTCGCTGCCCTCACTGCCCTCTCCGCCCTCACTGCCCTCACTGCGCTCACTGCCCTCGCTGCCCTCACTGCCCTCTCCGCCCTCACTGCCCTCACTGCGCTCACTGCCCTCGCTGCCCTCACTGCCCTCTCCGCCCTCACTGCCCTCACTGCGCTCACTGCCCTCGCTGCCCTCACTGCCCTCTCCGCCCTCACTGCCCTCACTGCGCTCACTGCCCTCGCTGCCCTCACTGCCCTCTCCGCCCTCACTGCCCTCACTGCGCTCACTGCCCTCGCTGCCCTCACTGCCCTCTCCGCCCTCACTGCCCTCACTGCGCTCACTGCCCTCGCTGCCCTCACTGCCCTCTCCGCCCTCACTGCCCTCACTGCGCTCACTGCCCTCGCTGCCCTCACTGCCCTCTCCGCCCTCACTGCCCTCACTGCGCTCACTGCCCTCGCTGCCCTCACTGCCCTCTCCGCCCTCACTGCCCTCACTGCGCTCACTGCCCTCGCTGCCCTCACTGCCCTCTCCGCCCTCACTGCCCTCACTGCGCTCACTGCCCTCGCTGCCCTCACTGCCCTCTCCGCCCTCACTGCCCTCACTGCGCTCACTGCCCTCGCTGCCCTCACTGCCCTCTCCGCCCTCACTGCCCTCACTGCGCTCACTGCCCTCGCTGCCCTCACTGCCCTCTCCGCCCTCACTGCCCTCACTGCGCTCACTGCCCTCGCTGCCCTCACTGCCCTCTCCGCCCTCACTGCCCTCACTGCGCTCACTGCCCTCGCTGCCCTCACTGCCCTCTCCGCCCTCACTGCCCTCACTGCGCTCACTGCCCTCGCTGCCCTCACTGCCCTCTCCGCCCTCACTGCCCTCACTGCGCTCACTGCCCTCGCTGCCCTCACTGCCCTCTCCGCCCTCACTGCCCTCACTGCGCTCACTGCCCTCGCTGCCCTCACTGCCCTCTCCGCCCTCACTGCCCTCACTGCGCTCACTGCCCTCGCTGCCCTCACTGCCCTCTCCGCCCTCACTGCCCTCACTGCGCTCACTGCCCTCGCTGCCCTCACTGCCCTCTCCGCCCTCACTGCCCTCACTGCGCTCACTGCCCTCGCTGCCCTCACTGCCCTCTCCGCCCTCACTGCCCTCACTGCGCTCACTGCCCTCGCTGCCCTCACTGCCCTCTCCGCCCTCACTGCCCTCACTGCGCTCACTGCCCTCGCTGCCCTCACTGCCCTCTCCGCCCTCACTGCCCTCACTGCGCTCACTGCCCTCGCTGCCCTCACTGCCCTCTCCGCCCTCACTGCCCTCACTGCGCTCACTGCCCTCGCTGCCCTCACTGCCCTCTCCGCCCTCACTGCCCTCACTGCGCTCACTGCCCTCGCTGCCCTCACTGCCCTCTCCGCCCTCACTGCCCTCACTGCGCTCACTGCCCTCGCTGCCCTCACTGCCCTCTCCGCCCTCACTGCCCTCACTGCGCTCACTGCCCTCGCTGCCCTCACTGCCCTCTCCGCCCTCACTGCCCTCACTGCGCTCACTGCCCTCGCTGCCCTCACTGCCCTCTCCGCCCTCACTGCCCTCACTGCGCTCACTGCCCTCGCTGCCCTCACTGCCCTCTCCGCCCTCACTGCCCTCACTGCGCTCACTGCCCTCGCTGCCCTCACTGCCCTCTCCGCCCTCACTGCCCTCACTGCGCTCACTGCCCTCGCTGCCCTCACTGCCCTCTCCGCCCTCACTGCCCTCACTGCGCTCACTGCCCTCGCTGCCCTCACTGCCCTCTCCGCCCTCACTGCCCTCACTGCGCTCACTGCCCTCGCTGCCCTCACTGCCCTCTCCGCCCTCACTGCCCTCACTGCGCTCACTGCCCTCGCTGCCCTCACTGCCCTCTCCGCCCTCACTGCCCTCACTGCGCTCACTGCCCTCGCTGCCCTCACTGCCCTCTCCGCCCTCACTGCCCTCACTGCGCTCACTGCCCTCGCTGCCCTCACTGCCCTCTCCGCCCTCACTGCCCTCACTGCGCTCACTGCCCTCGCTGCCCTCACTGCCCTCTCCGCCCTCACTGCCCTCACTGCGCTCACTGCCCTCGCTGCCCTCACTGCCCTCTCCGCCCTCACTGCCCTCACTGCGCTCACTGCCCTCGCTGCCCTCACTGCCCTCTCCGCCCTCACTGCCCTCACCGCCCTCACTCCCCTCACCGTCCTCAGTGTCCTCACTGCCCTCACTGTCCTCACTGTCCTCACTGTTCTCACTGTCCTCACTGTCCCTCACTGCCCTCACTGCCGTCACTGCCCTCACTGTCCTCACTGCCCTCACTGCCCTCACTGTCCCTCACTGTCCTCATTGTTCTCACTGCCCTCACTGTCCTCACTGTCCTCACTGTCCTCACTATCCTCACTGTCCTCAGTGCCCTCACTGTCCCTCACTGCCCTCACTGTCCTCACTGTTCGCTGTGCCCTCACTGTCCCTCACTGCCCTCGCTGTCCTCACTGTCCTCACTGCCCTCATTGTCCTCACTGTCCTCAGTGTCCTCACTGTCCCTCACTGCCCTCACTGTCCTCACTGCCCTCACTGTCCTCACTGCCCTCACTGTCCTCACTGCCCTCACTGTCCTCACTGTCTTCACTGCCCTCACTGCCCTCACAGCCCTCGCTGCCCTCACTGCCCTCACAGAACAAGCTAGATTGGTTGGCCACTGAGCTCTAAGAATCTGCTGATCTCTGATCCCCAGAGCTGGGTTTACAGTTGCATGCTGCTGTACCTAGCTTTTACATTGGTACTGGGAATCTGAATTCAGGTCCTTATGCTTGTGTGGCAAGCACCTTATCCGCTGGCCATATTCCAAACCCACTTTTGAGAGGTTCAATCAAGTGGAGATGGTGTGCTCCAAATGCTAGGTGCACTATCACATGGCCTGGGGTAAGTACTGAATAAAAAAGGGAGAGGGAGAAAGCCCTGGACAAATCCCTTTTGAGCTTCCTGGCTGGCACCACTGACCATGCTGACTCCATCCCTACACTTTCCTTGCCATGATGGACTGCACTTCTTTGAAGTGCAGGGGAAAATAAACCATTTCCCCTAAGATGCTTTTTGTCAGGTATTTGGTCACAGCAACATGGAAAATAATTCAAGTAATTAGAAAATATTAAAGTTGCTACAAGCAGAAGTTTGGTATTATATTTAAATGAGAAAAAAAGGTCTCTGAGAATGACTCCATAAAAGGGAGAACACTGACCTTTCCCCACAGAGGCATCGGACAGAGGCTCGAGGGACTGTGCTATTGGTGAAGAAGCCTTCTCTGGGGCTGGAACAGTCAATGATGCAGGAGCATCAGAGATGTCTGACTCAGGATAAATGTAGTCTTCTCCAAGAGAATGCCGATGAAGTTCAACATCCACTACCTATACAAGTGGGCAACAATGTTACAGAAAGCTCAAATCTGGTCTAGAAAATGGGACTCTAAGAGATGGAACAAATAACTTCTAGTCACATCTCAAAGGCAATTTCTACCTCAAGAACCAAAAGATGTTCTTAGGATGTAATCATTTTGACTTCACCCGGATGCCTCAGTGAAACGTCTCACAGTTATTATTTCTACTCCTTTGAACATTCCTCCTCTGCAGCTGCCTTTCTTCACCTGTCACAAATGCCACTTTCTCAAAAAGACCCTCCCTATACACCTAGCTTATGTACATCCCCTGCCCATCAGCTACTCTCTTCTTCATGGCATTTGTTTGTAGTTGAAATGATCTTATTTGCTTCTGTGTTTACTACTTACTATCCTTATTCTCAAAACCACCAAAACTAAGTCCTTGAGGATGAAAGCTATCTTACCCATCTGTGCTGGATAACTTTAGTGTCAACTTGACACACCTGGGTTGAGGAGCCTCAATTGGGGAACTTCCTCCATTGAACTGGCCTGTGGCCATGTCTGTGAGGCATCTTCTTGATCGTTGTGTGATGTGCGAGGGCCTAGCCCACTGTGAGTTGTGCCACCCCTGGGCAGGTGGGCCTGTGTTGCATAAGAAAGCAGGCTGAGCAGGGGCCAGGGGAGCAAGCCAGTAAGCAGCATTCCTCCATGGCATGGTCTGTGCTCCAGTTTCCTGCCCTGAGTTTACTACTTTGGGCTTCCCGATGAACTGTAATCTTTTCCCTCCCAAAGTTGGTATTGGTCAGAGTGTTTTGTCACAGAAATGGAGGACAAACTAGAACACCATCTCTTTACTCCTAACACCTGGTCCACTGTAAGCATACAGAAGGTACTTAACATCTTATAGCACAGTCCATTTCTCTAGACACTGATGAGATTTAGCTAGCCGATTATAATGGTGACTACATATATAGATCGTAAACACAGAAACAAAAGGGTAGAGAATGAAAATGGAGGCCTTACACTTCCTGATTTCAAAACTTATTACAAAGCTGTAATTATCAAATAGAATGCACTAGAATAAAGACAGACAGATAGAGCAATGGAATAGAATAAGCCCTCAAATACACGATCAAATGATCTTCAAGAAGTATCAGCCAGTCAGTAATGAAAAATGCTGGACTTTTAACAAAGTTAACCAAAGACTTACACATAAGAGCTCAAACTGGTCTGATGAGTGGGTAAAGGCACTGGCTGCCAAGTCTGACAACCTGAATTCCAACCCCAGAACCCACATAATGTGAGGAGAGAACCAACTCCAAGTTGGTGTCTGAACTCTACAATGTACTCACACTATGATAAAGCAATAAAGCAGAGGTTCGCAGAGGTTCAATTCCCAGCACCCACATGGCAGTTAACAACCAAACTCTAGTTCCAGGGGATCCAACACTTTCTGACCTCCATGGGCACTAAATGACATGGGTGCACGTACATATGTTCATACACACAAAATTAAGAAAAAAGAAACAACCATGAGATATCACTTTACAACTATAACAGCATCTATGCACAACTTAAAATACAGAAAAATAATAAGTGTTGATGAAGATGTGGACAATCTATACACCATACTATGGAGGGAATATAAAGCAGTACAGCTGCTATGGGAAATGCTATGACAGTCACTCAAAATGTTTAAA